GCCGGAACAATAAGAGTACATCGCTATTTCCATTACTAAAAAACGAGTTATCATTTCAATAATAATAATAGTACTATATTATTTAATACACATTATTATTTGCTTTTCCTAACGATAGTTTTCGAGCACTAATAGGGTTGTCTTCATACTGTATCCATGCAAGATTTACTTCCACAGCTCCATCGATTACGGTTGCATGAACTACTGATAGATCAGACATAAGTCAGACTGACTTTTAACCAGTCTATTAATATCTACTAAAGGTGGCGGATGTTACGGTTTATAATAATTATTATGACACCAATCTTGATTAAAATTTTTCAAGAAGGGTCATTTTCGCCAATTTACAAGTCTTAATTTTTTTGACAACATTAGAATCAAATCATATATTCCTATAGTATATTCAATATTTTACTGTCATATTTCAGTTAATCTTTAAACGATTATCGATTAATTACTTAATTAAAATTAAGTTTTCCGTTCTTATTAAATTTTTCATGTTTCTGCCTACATTCTTGGTGTCCTATGAATCCATGAATGATAAACCAATAACCAAACCAGGGCAAATATACAGAGTGTTCCACATAAGAGGGATTCTTCTGTAACCCTGTAACTGTAAAATTTATAAGAAAGTGGTTTTAATAAAAGTTGTCTGGGATTATGTGGGCTATGTAAAGAAAATATTTTTAGCTTTACAAGGTGTTCCATTTGGCGTCAGCGCTACATAACTTTGTTATTTTAAATGAAACNCAGATTATTGTTGCTTTTCCTAACGATAGTTTTCGAGTACTAATAGGGTTGTCTTCATACTGTATCCATGCAAGATTTACTTCCACAGCTCCATCGATTACGGTTGCATGAACTACTGATAGATCAGACATAAGTCAGACTGACTTTTAACCAGTCTATTAATATCTACTAAAGGTGGCGGATGTTACGGTTTATAATAATTATTATGACACCAATCTTGATTAAAATTTTTCAAGAAGGGTCATTTTCGCCAATTTACAAGTCTTAATTTTTTTGACAACATTAGAATCAAATCATATATTCCTATAGTATATTCAATATTTTACTGTCATATTTCAGTTAATCTTTAAACGATTATCGATTAATTACTTAATTAAAATTAAGTTTTCCGTTCTTATTAAATTTTTCATGTTTCTGCCTACATTCTTGGTGTCCTATGAATCCATGAATGATAAACCAATAACCAAACCAGGGCAAATATACAGAGTGTTCCACATAAGAGGGATTCTTCTGTAACCCTGTAACTGTAAAATTTATAAGAAAGTGGTTTTAATAAAAGTTGTCTGGGATTATGTGGGCTATGTAAAGAAAATATTTTTAGCTTTACAAGGTGTTCCATTTGGCGTCAGCGCTACATAACTTTGTTATTTTAAATGAAACACCCTGTATATTATTGCGTTTTTGAATTCCTTGGTTAATATTGGGTAGAGTTTATTAAATATACATGGTGTTTAAAACTTATTTAATTATTATTAAACCTAATCCAAAACTTAAGGGATAATTTCCGAAGGAAAGTTCCCTTTCAATTCGCCATTTACATTCAACCGGTATCAATGTTGACATTTAAGAAGTCTGGAAAATTTTATGAATAAGCAATATCTTCTCTCAACTTCTCTTGTCTGCACATGACGTCAGAAGGGAACTAACTACAGACTTTTGTTTGGATACATTTTCCTATATAATTAGACAATTTAATTTAATAATCATAATTTCCATCTAGTCAAAATGGACTTGCTATACATAAAATATTTATAATTTTTTCTGCACGTGTCCAAAATACTTATATTTCTATATATTTCTGACATAAGACTTCAACAAAAGGCACCAAAATGAAAAACTTAGTTACGAATTCTCCAAGTGTAGCCGAAATTCAAGGAGGCACCCCTTCGTAGCTATAGCAACATGGACACACCAAATGACGTTGGCACAAAATGATGACGTCACTGGATCGTTGGTATATGGAGGGACTGTAAATAGGTCACTCTACACAGTAAATAGGACGACGACCGACAGAAAGGTCACCGATCCTGCTTCTAGGCTCCTCGTTCTCTCAAGGGTTGCACCAAATTCATTCTAGTTTGTATTGTCTTAATGTTATAAAAAAAGACCTATTGAAAGATTTGTGCAAAGAAAATGATTTATAGAAGTGCCTATACATCTGGTACAACATAAATCACTGATTAGAATTTGCGTCTCAAAACTGTTTTGCTTTCTATGTATGTATGTTGTTTCTTAAAAAAAATGTTTGTTTCAGTGAAAACGTTTATGGAATGTAAACGAGAAAACTTGTAGAAGAAATAAGATTTTTCCAGATGCTTTTGCTTCCATTAAGAATAAATTGAGGTGTCGCAGTTAGCCACAATGACAAAATTAATTAAAGAGAAATACGAGCCAGCAAACAGATGAAGGCTTATTAGGATGTTTATTTGGGGTTTCATAAAAACAGTTCTCCATTAAATGTAGCTTTGTGCGAATGGCAAATAAATATTTATCTCGAATATATTTTAAATCGTATTAGCTGCGACGTTATTTGGCATAGTCCATATTAAAAAAAACGTTGCTTCGTTCTAGACTGTATAAAAACTCGACATTCCACACTTAGACAAAAACAAAATTGTTCTAGTAGAACGCACTACTCTGTGATCCAATTTGAAAGCCTTTGATTTCATATACGTAGGTATATGGTTCGTTACTCAAAATAAAGTCAGTTTAGACTGGTGTTTTTTGGTAGATGATGCAGAGTTGAAAAAGTGAGTGATTTAGGTGAGACATAAAACATTGAAACATCCAAAACAGAGTTGCTGGAACAAATTTATAAAGTTTTCTATATGTATAATACTGCTTTAAAAAATTAAATTGTTAAAATACGTAATTAAAAATCCTAAATAAAACTCAAAGTGTCTATCGGTTTATTATATACTTCTGGAGATGTCTTGACAATTGATAACTAGAGGAAAGCTTTCTTTATGTATCGCGCAAGGTTTTAGATTTTATAACTGTAGTATTTTGTAAAATATTGGAAAAGTAAGATGATTTATGCACTCATTTCTCACATGGACTTTTCTTATCAAAAGAAAAAATACCAATTAAGTATTATAAAAAAACATAAACCGATATTTCATTTTGATACGTCCCTAATAACATTTTTTTCTATCTTACAAAATATAGGCGGGGTATAAAATATTGAAAAACACACTGTACGTTGCTCTGGGTATTGAATAAGTATAATATTCTACACATTCGAGATGAATTTTAATTAAGTCAGCTTAGAAAATTGAGGCCCTTATCATTTCTTCCTTTTACGTCATTTGTAGTCCATTGAATAAGCTCACTTGTTACTTCATGAAAGACCCTTTCCCTCGGTATACAATTCAGTCAGACTATTGATATCGTACTTGGGATAATGGGTATGCCGTTTATAAATAACTGTGAATAGATGAACTACTTTCGAATGTCTAGTTTAATAGTTTAAATCCTAAATCGCGCATTTACCTATATGGTTATGTTGTAGACTAGCGAGTAGCGAGTCATTACATAAAAATAAAGTGAAAGAGTAGAGGTCTTAGATTATTTTTGTGCAAACAAGAAAAGAGGCATTATGCATTCATCGCGTTAACCATTTCTAATAAAATTAATAGTTAACAACTTGTTAAATAACGAGGATAAGTCTTTTTCGTTACATCATTTACTATTATCACATTATTGTGTTATGTAAAATTGAATAAAATTGTGTAATATTAATACTTATCAATCTTAGCATCGATGATAGGATAAAAGATTTAATCCTACCAAAATTTAAAGCTCGTTTTAAAATTAATTTGAATCAGTCTAATTTCTTCGAAGTAATGTATGTATATTAATATATTTTGTATGTTGTTCATCGTGTTTTTCACATTGTTGGAGATATGATTGGTACTTTACAAGAAATATAAAGTTTCTATTTAAAGGGCATAATGTAGAAATGAGAAGATTAAGAGATTTTACTACGGTACATATTAACAATAAAAGAATGTTTTTTTAAACGTACTGTATCATCAGTTCTACTGTAAATTGAAATCGAATGATGATTCTTTTACTCCACAGTAAAAGTGTCAAATCAATTCAAACAACGATACCAGAAATTTATTTGTGCAAGAGACAGTTTGATTTAGATTTGATTTTTTAGAAAAATATTTTGAATTTGTTTACTACAGAGTAAAAGACTCATTCGATTTCTTGGTAAATAATGTTACTTATTTTTCCAGTAAATTTAGACATAATTGGAACATAAATTATTGTGTTTCTCGCATTTTTTTCATTTTTAATTGTTTTTAATAGTAAAATAGATAAAATAAAGCATGATTTTACTTACCATTAAAATCTTATAAGTACATAAATCAAAACATGAATTAATATTGTAATAACATCAGATTAAAATAAGTTTTATGGACATGATATAAAATTTAACAGCATAACTTTTATGTATAATTAAGATAGTAAGTTAAATTATAAAATTCAATAATTCGTCTTAATCTGTAAAAAAAAACACTTGGGGAGAAGGTGATACAAACAGCTGCAATTTTTTGTAATTATTTTATTAAGGGACAAATCTACAAGGCACTAAATGGGGGAAATATGATATTCAGTGCTTTGAACAATATCAGTAAAATTGTAAAAGTACATCCTAAAAGTGTGTTACCAATTAGGCTTACATATGTCACAAATTGACTTGGTACTTGAATGAATTTGAATTTTCTTTTTTTTTCAGATAAAATTTTAAGCGTAGTTGAGTCCCTCTTTATAATAGGTATACATAGTATATCATATATGCACATAATATAAAAAAACATCAAGTCTTTACAAGTGTTATGGTACTTAAACGATACTGATACAAACATACCGCTTACCAACAGTCTTTTCAAGTAGGATTAGTTCATAAAATTAAGCATATTGCTAGGATTTATATACACTCAGTGTCTTTGGCTGGTACTTTATCGGTTCAAGCCTGCCATGTACTGCATACTGCAACAGCAACTGTTGTAAATCCTTGGATCTTTGGGAATCCTCTGGGTGGGAAGTCCAGACAGTCCTTTCACGTACGTGTAAGTGACGGGCTGTCTGAGTATCCTCTTCGGGGCAGGCTTCTTACTTTTCCTCTTCTCCTTGGTGTTGTTGCAGCTTTGTGACCTGACGTTCAAGTTCAGGTTCTGGAAGACCTTCCTGATGCTCTCCGCAGAAGTGGAGTGGTGATGCCTCGATCGCTGCTGGATGTCACTGCCTGCATCACTGGAACTGCTGGAGATGTGGTTGGGCGACACGCACCTGAAGACCGACTCTCCGGACGCTTCCTTCTTGGTCCTGGAACCGTGGCTGGTGGAAGTCGAAGAGCAGGAGTCCGAACTGGAGGAGCGACTGTCACTTTCCACTGGGAAGTGCAACTCTTCGTTCGACCGCCTGGCCAACTTCCTGCTGATCACCCTGAAGAGGCGGATGCCCCTGATTTCTCTCGATGGGGAAGGAGTCATGGAGCTGCGGCTACCCGGCACCACGGTCATCAAGATCAGCGGATTTTCGTTGCTTGTCATCACTGTTTTCATCGGAATACTAGCACCGTATCGTTATGTTGGGGCAGAACGATAACTGTGCGGCGCAGTGTTTACAACGGCTTTTATAAGGAGTGCAACGTGGGGAGGCTCTCCGCGCGCAAGCTTCTGGTGTGTAGGGGTAGAAAGCACGTGAAATTGCCGGCAAGGTGCTCCGTGATTGCGTTTGGCCCGTTGCGAAGTTTACTTGTCGAGGGGCCCTTTCGGCGCAACTGGATGGAAAATTCTTTTGATGGTGGTTGCGGCTTGCAAAGTGTTCACTTTAAATTTTTTATTTGACAGCTTCTAATTACACCTTTAACATGTATACAGGGTGTCCCATTTTTATTCTGAAAAAATTCAGGAAAAGGTAGATCCGATAAAATTAAAGATACTTTACTATATAAACTTATTTCGAAATCTGAACTATTTTCGAAATACAGGGTGTTGAAGTTGAATTTTTTTTATCATTTTTTGTTAATATCTCTTAGAGTTGTAAATCAATAGTTCTCAAATTTTGTGTGGTGAATGCCACAGTGCACTAGTAATAATTCACAAAATCTCAGCTCGACAGAAAGAGCCAGTGGCGTGCATTCCGCACTTGCCGATACCTTTTATAAAAAGTATGTGTTACGCCACTGACTGATCTTCAAAATAATAAGTAATTTCAATTGTCCGTGCATTGTTCTGCCAAAAGGCATTCTTACGTTTTTTCCATAATAGGCACTGTTACGGAGTAAACCGGCATTTTATAAAATCATTCCTGATCTTAATTTTAGCAGAACTGTCGTAATCAACAACTCAAACGCTCAACTCAATCACTATTCGTTATTTAAGAAATGTTGAAGCGCACTCCTGGCTAATTGAATATTATCTGTGATTACTGACAATGATACTTTTTTTTTTAAGTTGGAAAAAAAACATTTAAAATTCTCTTGGTGATTTAATAACAAAAATTAATTATAAAATTAATGCACATTAACATTTAATAAAATAAACAGAAACTATATCATTAATGTATCAATGAATATTTAAATATTGTTCAAATTGCAGGCCATTGGCCGCAGTACAGGCCTCACATCTTTTTCTAATTGCTCGTTTAATTTTTTGCATGACGAACCTATTTTGATTTAAATCATGACAGGCAGCTCTAATTCGTTGTTGCAGCTGTTCACGTGAGTTGATCACACTTTCATATACCTTGTCTTTTATTATGCCCCAAATGGAAAAGTCCAAAGGAGTAATATCAGGCGAACGAGCTGGCCAAGGAACAGGGCCTCCGCGACCAATCCATTTGTTAGGATATTGCTCATTAAGCCAACCTACTACTGCCCTTCC